GAAAACATGGGTCTAACATACAGCTTCAGTAGGCAACACAGTCTGTTTGGTAAATTTTTCTGGCAATTTAACAGTTTTTTGTGAAAATTTAATTTTTCACTTATTGGCATTTTCAAGGTGCGACTTAGAACCTCCACGGGCTTGAAGACCCATGCTAGTCACATTCTCATTTTCTGAAAATCCATGGCACATATATTTTATTATTAAAAACTGATGTATTATGCCTTTAAGCATTATGTAATGTTGCATCAAAATAGAAGAAAACACAATTTTTGGTGCTGCTGCCATGATGACCATATGTGTTACCTATGATTGTCAAACTTTCAAAAAAGAAACACAGGACTAAAATGCAGCCGGAGTGGGAAAAGCAGTCTTATTGGCTTCTTTTTCTGGAAGTTATACATTTTCAAAGTATGAACTTGAACTCCCAAGCCTGAGGCCTTATGCTTGTTACACATTTTACTTACATTGGTATGACCTGTTGAGCATAATTAAAATTTCATGTTGAATTTGCAGTTTAACATAATGTTCTTTTGCATCAGAATTGACAGTAACCTATTTTGTTATTTTCTGTTTTTTGTCTGTACATTTGACAGCTTTGCTGCCTTGTTTTATGACTAATGCCCATTTCTGTTCTGTTCTGTGAAGAAAGACCCATTTACCATGTAGAGATGGTTGTCAATTTTTGAAATCAGTTTATTGGAAAAAAAGAGAAATGGTGATAATATTTATTCAGCATTATCAAGTATAAAACAAAGAATAATTGAATTTATTAATTTAAATAATTATCATTATGTTTTTATATACAGTAAAATGATAGAAAAATAAAAATGTTTAAAAACTTAAGAAAATCAAGTAATTTTCAAACAAATCTTCATTCAAAACTATAACTAACGAAATTTATAAAGAAATAAATATAAATTGGCATGAATTTCAACAGTATTTATAAATTGCATAACATCAGTCATTCAATCTCCTTTCAGACAGTAAAAGCCTTCCTACCATCGATGCTACGTAAAAACCATGGACACCTGGTGTCGATTGCAAGCTCTGCTGGGCTTGTTGGGGTCACAGGCCTTGCTGACTACTGCGCAAGTAAATTTGCCGCTGTTGGCTTTGACGAATCACTGAAATATGAGCTGAACGCCATGGGTAAAGATGGCGTCCACACCACTGTGGTATGTCCCTATTATATCAACACTGGGATGTTTGAAGGTGTGAAGACAAGGTATGGACAGCCGACCCCCCCCGGGGGGGGGGGGGGGTTACATTAGTATTGATATTATAAAAGAAATAATGATAATAATATCAAAAGTAGAACGTCGCAGTTAAAATGCTATAATAATTATTATTTTTGAAAGGGATATGAAACACATGCAGTGGCTTCAGTAACATTAAGCCTTATTTTCTAGGGTGAGTGCTCAGAAAGTGCTCCTTATACAAATGTGTGCCCAGGCATTTGTGCACACACACGTGCACATATACACACTCATTGTTCATGTATGCTGCAATTTATACTATACACGTGCCTCTCACTGCATGTTTACAAGCGAAAACGTTTTCATTATTTCCTTTTTTCCACCAGGTTTCCTAAGGTCCTGCCAATTGTCAACCAGGATTATGCGGCCAGTAGAATTGTAGATGCTGTTCTTATTAACCAGGAGATTGTCTACATACCTCGGGTCCTTTACTTTTTCTTGGCTTTGAAAGGGTGAGTATAGGTGGCGCCACTAGTCTGTATAGAACAGTATCCAGAATTTAGAAGTCTTTTAAAAAGAAACCTCTGTCCATCAGACATAGAATGCACTTCATCACTACTCCAGGAAACAGCTTACAAAGTTAAGTTATAAACTATTAGTAATATAAGTTTGTTTTTTTTTTTTTTTTTTTTTTTTTTTTTTTTTTTTTTTTTTTTTTTTTGGGTGAGAGGCTTTACAGCATGTGTTGGCTGATAAAAATTAAAATTCTTCATTTCACATGACACAGTTGGGCACAACAAAAATGTATTAAGAATTTCTTTATTTCAGTTATGTGTGGAATTATATGATAATTATGTTACATGTGATGTTATATGATGTTATTATTCGGCTTATTTTTATATGTGTCAAAGAGTTTAGGGCACAAGGTTGTCAGAAACAACACAATGTTGTGTTGGGTGTGACGTGCTTGTGTTTCAACACAATATTGTGTTAGATGAGACACAGGTTATCACACCTTGCTCTACTGTAGAGTTCATTTTGTGCCCTTTTCCATGTAGGTATCTACCTGTAAAAGTGAACTTTCTACTCTGTAACTTCTTTGGCACAACTAAAATGATGGATACATTTATTGGGAGAAAGAAGAAGGAATAGTTACTTGTAGAGTAGCTTTATATGTATGTTTTTTCTGCTTTGGCACAAATGGCTGAACAGCTTTTGCCTACTTATTTGCTTGGAGATGTACCATCGCTGCTTTCAGCTTGTATGAAAAATAATTCAGAAGAATATTGCTGTTACTTGCATCTCATTTATCAGAAAGCAATCATGTTCTCCATACTGCCATCTAAATTGCTGTTAGGGAAATAACAAGTAAATGTGTATAATTTCTTACCCAAAAGGATTTATCAAACAAAATTTTTAGATAAAAATACGCTTATTTAAGATAAACATGCTTTCTTTGACCAGCTGTTTTTTCCCCTTGGAATTTTCACCAAAATCCTGTTTTTCCACTTTAAAACTTGGTTGGATACTGGATTGTTTAGAGTGAAAGAGTGTAAAGAGGAGCAGTCACACATCGTTTTAAGCCCCTTGAAATGAGAGCACCCCCCCCCCCAAAAAAAAAAAAAAATAATAAACAAATAGATAAATAAATAAATAATAATAATAATAATAAATAATTCAAATCTGTATGGTGTCATCGCATATTGATTATTAAAAATGTTTGGATAACAAAACCTTAGATTAATAAATAAATAAAAACAAAAGTTTGATTTTTTCTCTGTGGAGGCTGCTTCCATTTCATCTCACCCATCTGATATGTGAATTCATGGGCAACCAAACCTTTATGGACACATTCCGTGGACGAGCAAAACAGAATTGATGTTATTACAGTAATTTCATATTGAAGGTGAAGATATATGGGTCTGCATGGCCTTTTTACTCAGTACTAATCCATAGATGGCACCTCTGTTTCTTGGTTATTTTTTCTTATTTTCTCTGAAGCACTAGGTGTCAGTAGAATTCTTTAGAGCACTGACTTGAGATATTTGGGTTTATTGATTTTCACAAGTGGTAAGCAATAACAGGACTTAAAGTCAATGATTAACCAAATGTTGGGTTCAGTGTGTGGCATAGTAGATGTAACACCATCTTCACTGCAGACCAACATTTATATAGTGGTAGATTGAGTTCTTGAATTTAATTTTTGGCACCCGTGGATGATGCATCATGTCATTTCCTTTTCACAAATTGTTCATAGAAGGTGATGGTGACCCTTTGGGTGTGTTTAATGTGACATTGTGCTGGGATTGGATATGCCTATATGTGATGGTTAAAAGGATAACTATTCATCATGGCCAAAAGAAAAAAAAAAAAAGAATTTTCCTGGGATGAACAACAATTTCCCATACCTACCAGTGGGAAATGAATCCATTTCTTAAGAGATTATTATAAAGTATAGCCATCTATGGAGGTCACATATGGTCAGATGGCAAGCACAGATTTCAGCATAATTGCCTCAACTGCCATTTTTGTGGTAAAATAGAATTTATTATATTTCTATGAGTTGTTAACAATTAATGTTTTAACTGCAAAATATAGATCTCATGCAAAGAGTTGTTATCCCTTTAACTTTCATAACTAATTCGCAAGTTTTATTCTTTCTGTAACCCTTTTAATTCATGTAACCAACATATCTACTAGTTTCCAGTTTGCAAATAGTTTATTGCAGTTTGTGGCAACTGCATGCTTTTGTTCTGTTGCGAGTGTGTTAGTTTAGGCAGTTTGTCAGGCATCGGATGTGCTATAATGATTGCTAACTTTCATAGCTTGTCAGTATTGTGTTACTTACATTAAACAGTGCTATTTGCTGAAACTGTTATTACCTCCTTGTTAAGAATTCATTTTTTCAGCTTGCTCATTTTAATTTGCATTTTTTTTTCACCATGTTTTTTTTTCTGTATTTTTGACATTATGCATTCATTCATATTTATTTATTTGTTCATTAGATTTTATGAAATAATTTTAAATTTGTAATTTTTTTTTCTTTTCAGTCTTATTCCAGTTAAGGTTGGCCTTCTGTTAGCACAGGCCTTTGGAATTAATAACTGTATGGATGACTTCAAGGGAAGAGCAAAGAAAGATTAGATAAATTACCTAACCAGAGCAAAGAAAATAGAGTTATGCCAACATTTTATTTTACCTTTTTTTCTTTTGTTTAAATCTAGTTTTCGATCTTATATCATAATCAGCGAGGAATTGGACACTTTTCAATAATGTTTTGTGTTCTCTAGCCAGTGAATTATTTTTGTTTTGTTTTTTTATTAGCCATTTTTAAATTTTTCATAAAATCTGTGTTACTCCAAAATAATTTTTTTCTAACTTAGCCATTAACCTAATTGTCCTTTTGTCCTTATGTTTAAATTGTACTTATTAGTGATTAACTTAAAATTCCCCAATTGTTAGAATGATAGGGTGATAGTAAACTTAGCTATTTACTTTGCTTTTCTTCAAAAATTACAATATTACCCAGTTTACAATAAGAAAATTTTTTTGAATAATAGTATTAGAGCATGTGTATATTTTTCTTTTGCCAGTGTATGTGATTTCATATGTGATGTAATCCATAGGAAACTAATATTCTTGAATGCCACTTTAATTCAATTTTTACAGTGAGCTGTCAGTTTACATTATTGTATTAAAAATGTTAATATTAAGTTTAACTTAGTTACTTTTTAATCAGATTTATTGCCTTTGTAAGGAATGTGGATTTGCTAAATAACAATCATGATTGTAAAATCCTGTTCATGATTATGGTTTGTAAGTATATTTCATTATAACATTAATTGGCACATTGGTGGATGTTTTATTGTTTTGTTCAATTCTTAGTCTTGTGCACAAGTTTATGTATATGTACATCAGAACTGAAGTGAGTATTAACAAGCAGAAGTATTGTAATTAGTGCCAAAATTTGTCCAGATTTTCTCCATATTTTTTATTAAACTGTTCATGTGCTATACATCGTGGAGCCATATTTCTGTAAATTTCAAACAGTTGATTTTACTCTACAGTTCCAATTTATTTCCAGCAAAAAGGGATATATAGAATAGAAAAAGGGTTTTTGACTTGTTGCATATCAAAGATTTTTATTGATAAATTCAATAAAAAATTCTACAAGTTTTTGCTGACTGTAAAAATGGACCTGTGTAGAAATGACTGTGTCAGTTATTTCATTGATATTCAAATGTCTAATCTTGACCTACCTCAAACTTGTCAAGAAATATACATGAAATATGTACAAAAAATGATACTGTTCGTGAAATGTTTGAGAAATCTTCACAATTAGTATAATATTTGTATACAGCAGACTGCATATTTTTTCACAACTAAACTGAATTATTGTTTAGCTTAAAAAAAAGTATTGTAATATGTTTTTTCTCTCTTAAATTTAATAAATACCACCTAGCTCAAATCTTTTTTCCACCTTAGACACCTCATCCATGTATGTCTTAAAAGTAATTGTAATAATTTTTTTTTCCATTTCCAGAGTGATTATGTTAAATTATGCTAAGTCTAGTGTATCAAATAAATGATTCCGCTAATTTTTTTTTGGCAACTGCTTATGGAAGATGTCAGACGAACAGTTAAAAAACTACAACAATAACATTCATAATAATCTTACAAAGAATTTTTGGTGTTTTTATTTGTACGAATACATAAGCATTGTTCTCACTATATTCAAGTTTTTCCTGCAAAAGGCATCCTCAAACATTTACTAACAATTATACAAAACAGCAGAAGTAAAATCTGAAAAAACATCACACAAAAATCAACACTAACCACAACTACTTCATGTAAGTTACTACAAGTAACAGTTCAGTTAATTAAAAGCAATGCTTTTCATTATTTGCATCAAAGACTGAACTCTGAGATATATTTAATTTTGCTGTGATCACACCCATATGCTGCCATTCAATTTGAACTCTAATATTAAAAACATGAGATTAATTCAAGGAAGAGAATCATGGAGTTTTGTCTTTACTTTAGTGAGACCTGGGTTCTATAACAGTTTCCCTACACTAAGACTTGCTTCAAACAATATATTTCTGCCTTTGGCCAGTTGCAGCAGTCATCAATTCAGCAGAGCAAAGTTTGAAAAACAGCTTGATCCTCCATTTTATTCATTTATTTATTTTTTTGGGCTGTTCTTTTTTTTCTCTTTTCTAAAGCTCCTCTTGAAAGGTTAAACAGCACCATCTACAAATCTGTCTGCTCACCAACAGGTGGCACAGGCCCCTGTTCTGCATGCTGTTCTTGCTCATAATCCAGCGGCACTAACAGATACTGTCCCTGGTCACCTGCAGCCGTCCCCTCATCAGAAGGTGCTGTAGTAGAAATCATTTGGTTTCCGGTAGTTCCTGTGGCAAGAATCTGAGAAGCAGCAATTTGAGACGCTAAGTCCGCCAAGTTGATGCTTTTGCTGGTGGCGCCATCTATGCTGCTGGACAGAGACTGCAGAGCTTGGGCGGTCTGGAGGGCCTCTACGACATCACTGGAGAGGTTCTCCATGACAAGCTGGTCACCTGTGGTTGCAGCAGCGGTTGTTGGGATGGCATCCCCTGCGCCCTGCTCACCTCCTTGTTGAATGTGGATTACCTGGAAAAGGAGGGGGCAACATTCTGAACATTCATTTGAGAAGACATAAACTACTGGCTTAAATTCAGGCACAGCCACATTGACCATCTACTGATGGATATAGAAAAGTACTGTCCATGTAGCACTGAACTTTAAGATGAAATTCATTTGATTTCTGTATATGTCTCAATTTTTTTTTATTTAAGGAACACAAAGAAATACTGTTGGTTGTGGCTATCTGTCACTGTAAAGGCTAATTACTTACTTAAAAAAGTAACAAATTTAGGTCAATTTTTGGCACAGAGCATTTAATTAATCAACCTTTTTTACACAGTACGAGTAAGTCAATCCACCATTATACATTTGCTCTTTTTCTTGTAAAACCAATGTCACTTTGACACGATCATCAATCAAATTCTAAATCAAGAAGTAGATTTTAAAATTTTGAGCACAGAAACAACTTCCACTGACCTCTGTGTTGTCTGTGAGTTCTATCTGCCTCCCATCAGGCATCTGTATGATGGTACGGCCAGTTGGGCCCTCGCCAAGCTCTCCAAATATCACCTGGGACGTGCCATCCTATGGAAACCAAACGTAATGGTCAATATTTTGTATCAGCAAGGCTCTCCTGACTTAATGTCTACATTAAACAACAATATGCAAAACAATAAAGTTTTTAAAGCTGACAAAAGATATATCCCTTTTTTTTTGATGAATTCTTCTTTTTTTAATCATCTTTTGACCAACCAATTAAAAAATAAAATAAAATAAAATAAAATAAAATAAAATAAAATAAAATATGAATTTAACACGAAATCTTAATCCCCTAAATATTACCTCAATATTCTGTCCTCCCTGAACCTCCACCAGTCTGGTCTGCTGGTTGGGATCCTGGATCTGGACCAGAATGTGCTGAGGTGGCTTCTCTACCACACTCCCTCCTGCCCTGCCTGCTGAGATGGTGCTACTCTGGATCCTGGGCTCATCAGGTTGGTCCACCTTCTTTAACAGGGTGTGCAGAAAGTTGGGGTCCTGAAAAGTGGATTTTAAATAAAAGAACTCTCAAGGAACAACCTCACCGCAATAATTAAAGGAATCTGGGTGAATTATTAGATTTTTGTACTGAAGTATTTCTATTTTTTTTCTGTGATTCAGGAACCCTGTAACATGGATTACATGTGCCCCATTAAATCAAAAAGACTTAACAATTTTTTAGACTCACCAAAATTTGGAAACAAGTGTCATGACTACCAAAGTCAAAACTTGGCTATCAACTTCCATCGTAAATAAAACTTTGAAACCTTAATATGAACAAAACGTTCTTTTTATTTTCTATACCTGTACCTTCCCTCTACAGAACAATTACCTGTAGCATTCCCACATTGCCTGGATGTTTCCGTTGGATATGGCGTCGTAGTGTGTGGCGATATCGACACATCTCCGAGCAAAGGCTGCACACATACATCATTCCGCTGTGAAACTCCAGCACGTGCTTCTTCAGCTCATGCGGCAACACAAACTTCTTGGTGCAGTGATCACACGCATGTTTCTTGCCCTGCGTATGCTCAAGCGTGTGCCTGTACAGCTGTTCTGGGTATTTGAACGAAGCCTGGCAGTAGTTACAGTTGAAGTGCTTCTTGGGATCGTGCATTAACATGTGCTTCATCAAATTCCCTTTCTGACGGAATATCTTCCCACAGGTTTGACACGCGAACACTTTTGTGATTGCGCCATGAAACTGTTTCTTGTGGGCGTAGAGTGTGAGCCTTGTCTTCAGCAGCTTTCCGCACTCGTTACACTGAAACTTGCGCTCCTTAGTGTGCACGGCGTTTTTGTGCTCCAACATCTGGTGGCGTATGTGGAATTTTTTGTGGCAGACATCGCAGGAGAAATGCTTGTCGCCATGGGTTTTAAGATGCTTGTTAAGATTGCTCTTGCTAATGTAGGTTTTTCCACATAGGTAGCAAACATATTTGTCCTCCATTTCGGCTACTCCTTTCCTGTAAAAGGTTAAGATTAAGGTTGAGTCAAAAGTCTGTTACTCGCGAAGGACAAGTCACCTTAATTATTGTCAGGTTTCCTGGATCTACCCAATACTGAATTGATCTCACCTTCTGGAAATGGCACTACCATCGGCATCCATAACTACCAGTAGGTCTTCATCCCTTGATTTATGTATGCAATAGTATGCAGGTAGGCTTACAGGTGTTAGGCCTATTAAAAGCCACAAACTTGCTGTCGTAGCTGTAATTAATCTTAGTATCTTACCCGATGAATACATACGTAATTCAGCCTTACGCTTTTTAAATTTTACTAATTTACATCGGTTGCTGAGAGGACTCATCAAAAATTTTTTATTTGAAGACTGTCAGTTTCTATGGTTACTGAAATATGAATATATAATAAAAGTACTGAATCAACTGATTAATTTTATTCATCGAGTTCCTGCAATATCTGTTACATACCTGACTGAGTATTTCATCCTGACCACCGACCCATCTGGCCTGCGACATGTGTGGTTGTTTAGGTAATCCTTGCGATAGAAGCTCTTCCCACAGAACTCGCACTCGTAGTTCGGCTCCTCGTGTGTCTGCATGTGGCGATCCAGATAGCGTGGGTCTGAGAGCGTTCTGTTGCACACTGTGCAGTTTACAGCACCTGACGGAATATGAAGTATGTTTTTTTTAGATGTGTTAATCTATTTAACTGATAGTGTCAATGGGAATGAGCCCTTAATCTTGATGTGAGGAAAATATGTCATATTTGTCAAGAATTTGTCAATCTTCATCCCTTCAAACCTTAACTATCACCTTTTCTATAAAGAATCATTTTATATACTAAATCAAGTTACTTTTTGTCTTTTATTTTTGTTCTTAATTGCCTGCCTGTTTTTTTTTTTTTTTTGCTCATGTTGTGCACAATCCTCTATGTAACCTTTAAAAAATCTCATATGGCAGAGCTCAACATACATCCAAAACTAGTATTTAATTAATTTAAAAAAACTTTATCTAAAAATTAAAGTAAAAAAACCTCACCTTCTTTTCCAGTGCACGTTTTCTCATGCTCCAAGTGGGAGAACTTCCTGGCGAACCCCTTGCCACATTTGGCACACTCATGGGGGTGACGGTGCTTCACCTTGTGATCCCTGAACAAGATGGCATCAGTGAATTCTTCTCCACAGTCATCACATTTGACCACGCCATCTTGCTCTATGCTGAACTTGGCCTTGCATTTATATTCGTGCTTTAACACATCCTCTTTCCTGATGAAGGCCTTGTCGCAGAGCTCACACTTGAATTTGGATTTCGCCGAGGACGACATCCCACCTGTGCCATCTTCGCCTCCCTTTGCAGCACTTCCCACGCACACATGCTCCTGAAGTCGCTCTTTACTGGAGTAGCTCTTCTTGCACACGCTGCACCTGAACTGACCCGTGTGAACAATTTTGTGGTTTTCCAAAGCAAGCTGTCTGCTGAACACCTTTCCGCACTCGTCGCATGGGAAGACATGGTTCTTGGATTTTGCAGAAAGTTGAGCTGGGTTGCACTTGTACAAATGCCACTCCAGTGCCTTTTTGCGAGAGAACATCGTCTTGCAGCGCTCACACGTGAATTCTCCTGTGTGAGCTGCCATGTGACGGAAGAGGTACAACTTCTTTGAGAAGGACAAGTTACAGATCTGGCAGAAATGGGTTTTCTTCACTTCCACCTTGGCACTGCAGATGTGTTTCTCCAGACTCTCTGCCCGGGCAAACACCTTGTGACACGCAGCGCAAGTGTATTTCCCAGTGTGCACTGGGAAATGGTTTTTAAGATACCGAGGCTTGTCGAACTTCTTCCCACACTCGGGGCACACGTAGTGCTTGCCATCGAAGGACTCTTCAATATCCATATTCAACTCCCAGTCCAAGTCCTTGGATCCCACCACCTCTTCTCTATGCTTCTCTAGCACGTGGGTTTTTCCAGACTCAAGTTTGTCAAGTACTTCCCCACATACTTTACACTTGTAGCTCAGGTTGTCTGGATGCTCTTGGGACATGTGTTCTCTGCCTTCTTCTAGAGTGGAGAATGTCCCCCCACAAACTGGGCACCCGTATGTGGAGTCGTCTTCCTTTTGCTCCAAGCCATCCTGCAACTCCAACAGGACTTCTGGGTCTTGAATCTCTTCATCTGCTAGATCTAAGGCCTCTCTTTTGCTGTTATTTCCATCGTCATCTCCGTTTGTTGCTGCCTCACGCTTTCTTTTCATTGGGTACAGCTTGGCAACAAACTCTTCCCCGTCGTCATCACTTAGATCGACTTCTTCTTCAGTGATGTCATCACCACTCTCCAAATCAAGGTCAGCATCGTCGTCATCACTGTCACCCTCCTTGTTCTTCTTAAACTCTTTGTCTTGTTCAGCCTCAAACTGCCACTGCCTTGGCTTAATGACCCGGCCTCTGGAAGAACGGCGCAAATTTTGCTCTGACTCTGCTTCCTGAGGTTTCTCCGGTTCTTTTATCACTGGAGGTTCAATCTTCTTCACCATCTCTGATTTCCGAGGTCGGCCTCTCCTTCGCTTTGGTGGAGGAGGTTGTGCCACATCTGCAACTGTGTTGTTATTTTTCAATTCTCCTTGATCTGGAGGTAGAATTTCAATTTGCGGAGGTGCCGCAATGGCCACGGGTGTCACAACAGGAAGACCTGGCTCATCTTGAGTAGGCATTTTCTCTTCTGCACTAGTGCTGTCATTTACTATGGGGGGTGTTTGCACCCCTTCCAATTCTGACAAGAGTTTGTCTAAATCTTCAAGATCCTGGGCAACTTGAGGATCTGTCTTGTCTTGTGTGGCTCCCTCTCTTACTATCTGTGTTCCTGCTTGAGAAGGATCAATAAACATCTGTTCATTTTCATCAGTAGGTTGGGAGCCGTCTTTTCCTGCTTCAACATCAAGTGCTGCCACCTTCACTTTCGTTTCTTCAGAACTTGTCTTCTGGTGCTTGCTTTCCATATGACTCTCTAAGAGATCCTCTCTGTAGAAAAACATGGCGCACTCTGGGCACTTAACCCCCTGTTTCTTATGCTTCCTCATGTGGCGCTTGAAAGTGATGGGGCTTCGACAAGCCTGACCGCAAATGGAGCACACAAGGGATTTCCTAGTGCGGGTCATTTTGCGTTCCACGGGCAGCTGGGGGCGCAGGTGGTTACGAATGTGCCTCGCAAGACTGACCATGCTGTCAAATGTGGCGTTACACTCGCGGCACACAGAGGCGTCAGAGGATTCTTGACTGAATGTCAGAACTGGGGCAATGTCTGCTGCTTGGTGACTGGAAAGAGAAGACATGCAAAAACTGAAGTCAGTCACCACAAAAACACATAGTAAAAGGTATTAAGGGTGGGAAATAACTCTTATGGCAAGCACCAAAAATGTACATAAATAGTTTTTTGGAACAAATTTAAATCAAACCTTTTCAGTGGCGACCGGTATTATAGAACTGGCTGTCTTATATCTCTATGTATGTACAACATGGTTTTAACTTTGGGAAAAATCAAGCCACTTCTTCATTATTAAAGAAAATGTTAAAAAAAGTTCAGGCAAGTTGGTTAAGTGATGTCAATTGAAAGAAAGGTCAAATTTTTGTCTGTTCAAGGTAAAAAGGAAATTGTAATCAAGTAATCGCCATAATTGGTTAGATAATTTCAAATTTCGAAAGAAAAACCTACATCCCATCCTGTTGCCCCTCCTGTTCCTCAGTTAGCGCCATATTGTGCAGCTCCAGCAAGTGCTGCCTGAACTCAGATTCAGAATTGAAGGATATCTCACACAGCTGGCATATGTACAACATAGAGGCTTCCCCTTCTCCTGGAAAAATATACAGGGAAATAATTTACAAGTACCAAGTTCTGTCAGTGCATGCTTGTGCACGTGTACTGTGTATTAAATATACAATAACTTTTGAAAAAATACAAAAGGGACAGGGCAATACAAATATTAATAGTTGGTGTTTCTTCATCATTCTTTTGGTTATAAAAAATATATAAGTAAAGAGTATTTTTTTTACTATCATGGCCATTCATTTTGTCTTTTTTATCATTTTTTTTTATGATAAAAAGATAATTATATGAAATACATGTAAATTGATATCTTCGAAGCACAAATTTTAATTTATCTGCTGCTATCTCATTTCAACCATTGTCATTTAATATCCGTTTCTACTGTTGCTTCAGCTACTGCCACAACTTTGGCGATACAAATAAACATAAGTCATAATAATAATAATTATTATTATTATTACTATGACAATCTTTAAAATGAGTAAATAATTGTAATAATGAAGAAAATATTTACCATGTGCTGTATTCTTATTTGGACTAGCTTCATTAGCCTGCCAGTTAATATCCAAACCAAGCAGTGCTGAAAACAAAAACCACAATTATTAAACAACAGAAGTCAAACAGTACACGGGAATACACCTGTGAAATTACAAGTTAAAACAGTTTTCCAAAAATCATTCAGAGATAAATACTAGTAGACAGATCAGACAAGACAGTTGACAGGAAGAGTACTTCACTTTAATTTTTTTTTGATTTTTCACTGACACCAAAACCTATAATAGAATCATACATAGTCACAGGAGATACTAGGAAGTTAATACATCACATTCCAATGGCTGATGAAACTAATTGAAAAGAATCATACATAGTCACAGGAGATACTAGGAAGTTAATACATCACATTCCAATGGCTGATGAAACTAATTGAAAAGAATCATACATAAATAAATTGGTCAGGTGCGGATTAAGGCCATGTTTTGGGTCTTCCGGAAGACGGTCAGATTTTCAAGTTTACATTGATGGGTATCTAATTTTTTTCTGTTGGAAGTCGGTCAAAAAATGGAGATTGGATCGACCAATGTAATATGGAAGACTGTCAGAAAAATCTCTGGATCCACCCCTGTTGGTAAACAATTTAAGTTACCTTTGGTCACCCCATCAGGCTCTGCACTCTTCCCAAGTTTTTTGGCATAATGCGGGGCGTACCACACCTTCAACTCCTCGTTCGCGTCCAGTCGCCTGGTGTTCATATAGTACAGCTCCGTGCCGCTCTGGAAGGCGATGCAGTTCTGCTCTGGCTTGGTCTCCGCGGTGCGCACCAGACAGAGCCAGTTACACTCGCTCTCGTTTCGAGTGTCTAAGGTGACTGTGCTGCCATCTTTAGAGAAGATCTGAAATAATTAATTTTTTCCTTTTATTATTACTGCTAATTATTCAAAATCTAACTGAATCATGCAAGAACTTACGATGCATAATGTCAGAATTATAACCTTCCAAATTTATAAAAAACTTTGTCATTCCGCTACAAAAAATTTACTAAATTCTTAAAAAATAATTTTTTTTAAATTTTCTTGTGAATAAGAAGTTACATCACCACCCTACCACTTTACCTTCAACACAAACAAGTTCTCCATATCTAAGTCAATGGTAGTTCTCTTGGCTTCAAAGGGGCCTAGCTTGGTTTTGGCAGGTATCCCTTGCTTTGTGGCGACACCTATAGCTTTGTCAAGGAATTCAACAACTTGAAGGTTGTTGGGAAGGGTAAGACGTGCCCTGAAATGCATATTTAAAACATAAGCAAAAAAAAGAAAAAAATTATAAGCATGCTTTGAATTTTGCTGAAGAAGCTGTGCAGAGGAGTTAAAGAAAAATTAAAACAGATATCAAATGATAGAAGTTGAGCTGCAAGAGTATTTAGTAAAGTGTAAAAGATAACATTTAATAATCTGCTTTATGTTGCTTGTGCTATTGCTATGTATATTTCTTTTAAAAAGAGAAAATGAAAAAAATCATTATGATAGTCATAAGTTAAAAAAAAAAAGATGGTGGGGGTGAAACGTGAAGATACATGAAAAACTAGGCTTCACGACTTTACTATATCCTGTAAAAAATATAACAAGCTGTCAAATGTACAGACAAATAACAGAAAATNCTCAATCTTCTTCACCATCTCTGATTTCCGAGGTCGGCCTCTCCTTCGCTTTGGTGGAGGAGGTTGTGCCACATCTGCAACTGTGTTGTTATTTTTCAATTCTCCTTGATCTGGAGATAGAATTTCAATTTGCGGAGGTGCCGCAATGGCAACGGGTGTCACAACAGGAAGACCTGGCTCATCTTGAGTAGGCATTTTCTCTTCTGCACTAGAGCTGTCATTTACTATGGGGGGTGTTTGCACCCCTTCCAATTCTGACAAGAGTTTGTCTAAATCTTCAAGATCCTGGGCAACTTGAGGATCTGTCTTGTCTTGGGTGGCTCCCTCTCTTACTATCTGTGTTCCTGCTTGAGAAGGATCAATAAACATCTGTTCATTTTCATCAGTAGGTTGGGAGTCGTCTTTTCCTCCTTCAACATCAAGTGCTGCCACCTTCACTTTCGTTTCCTCAGAACTTGTCTTCTGGTGCTTGCTTTCCATATGACTCTCTAAGAGATCCTCTCTGTAGAAAAACATGGCGCACTCCGGGCACTTAACCCCCTGTTTCTTATGCTTCCTCATGTGGCGCTTGAAAGTGATGGGGCTTCGACAAGCCTGACCGCAAATGGAGCATACAAGGGATTTCCTAGTGCGGGTCATTTTGCGTTCCACGGGCAGCTGGGGGCGGAGGTGGTTACGAATGTGCCTCGCAAGACTGACCATGCTGTCAAATGTGGCGTTACACTCGCGGCACACAGAGGCGTCAGAGGATTCTTGACTGAATGTCAGAACTGGGGCAATGTCTGCCGCTTGGTGACTGGAAAGAGAAGAAATGCAAAAACTGAAGTCAGTCACCACAAAAACACATAGTAAAAGGTATTAAGGGTGGGAAATAACTCTTATGGCAAGCACCAAAAATGTACATAAATAGTTTTTTGGAACAAATTTAAATCAAACCTTTTCAGTGGTGACTGGTATTATAGATCTGGCTTTCTTATATCTCTATGTATGTACAACATGGTTTTAACTTTGGGAAAAATTAAGCCACTTCTTCATTATGAAAGAAAATGTTTAAAAAAGTTCAGGCAAGTTGGTTAAGTGATGTCAATTGAAAGAAAGGTCAAATTTTTGTCTGTACAAGATAAAAAGGAAATTGTAATCAAGTAATCGCCATAATTGGTAAGATAATTTCAAATTTCAAAAGACCTACATCCCATCCTGTTGTCCCTCCTGTTCCTCAGTCAGCGCCATATTGTGCAGCTCCAGCAAGTGCTGTCTGAACTCAGATTCAGAATTGAAGGATATCTCACACAGCTGGCATATGTACAACATAGAGGCTTCCCCCTCTCCTGGAAAAATATACAGGGAAATAATTTACTAGTATGCAGTTCTGTCAGTACGTGCTTGTGCACATGTACTGTGTATAAAATATATAATAACTTTAAAAAAAATACAAATACAAAAGGGTCAGGGCAATACAAATATTAATAGTTGGTCTTTCTTCATCATTCTTTTGGTTATAAAAAATATATAAGTAAAGAGTATTTTTTTTACTATCATGGCCATTCATTTTGTCTTTTTTATCATTTTTTTTTATGATAAAAAGATAATTATATGAAATACATGTAAATTGATATCTTCGAAGCACACATTTTAATTTATCTGTCGCTATCTCATTTCAACCATTGTCATTTAATATCTGTTTCTACTGTTGCTTCAGCTACAACCACAACTTTGGTGATACAAATGAACATAAGTCATCATCATGATAATAATAAATTAATCATTATTATTATTATGACAATCTTTAAAATGAGTAAATAATTGTAATAATGAAGAAAATATTTACCATGTGCTGTATTCTTATTTGGACTAGCTTCATTAGCCTGCCAGTTGATATCCAAACCAAGCAGTGCTGAAAACAATAATCACAATTATTTAACAACACAAGTCAAACAGTACACGGGAATACACCTGTGAAATTACAAGTTAAAACAGTTTTCCAAAAATCATTCAGAGATAAATACTAGTAGACAGATCAGACAAGACAGCTGACAGGAAGAGTACTTCACTTCAATTTTTTTTTTGTTGTTTTTTCTCATTTTTCACTGACACCAAAACCTATCATAGAATCATACATAGTCACAGGAGATACTAGGAAGTTAATACATCACATTCCAATGGCTGATGAAACTAATTGAAAAGAATCATACATAAATAATATGGTCAGGTGTGGATTAAGGCCGTCTTCTGGGTCTTCCGGAAGACGGTCAGATTTTCAAGTTTACATTGACAGGTATCTAATTTTTTTCTGTTGGAAGTCGGTCAAAAAATGGAGGTTGGATCGACCAATATAATATGGAAGACTGTCAGAAAATATCTCTGGATCCGCCCCTGTTGTTAAATAATTTTAGTTACCTTTGGTCACCCCATCAGGCTCTGCACTCTTCCCAAGTTTTTTGGCATAATGAGGGGCGTACCACACCTTCAACTCCTCGTTCGCGTCCAGTCGCCTGGTGTTCATATAGTACAGCTCCGTGCCGCTCTGGAAGGCGATGCAGTTCTGCTCTGGCTTGGTTTCCGCGGTGCGCACCAGACAGAGCCAGTTACACTCGCTCTCGTTTCGAGTGTCTAAGGTGACTGTGCTGCCATCTTTAGAGAAGATCTGAAAGAATTATTTTTTTCTTTTTATTATTACTGCTAATTATTCAAAATCTAACTGAATCACACAAGAACTTACAATGCATTATGTCAGAATTATAACCTTCCAAATTTATAATAAACTGTTTGTCACTCCACTACAAAGAATTTACAAATTCTTAAAAAAATTTTTTTTTTATTTTCTTGTGAATAAGAAGTTACATCACCACCCTACCAATTTACCTTCAACACAAACAAGTTCTCCATATCTAAGTCAATGGTAGTTCTCTTGGCTTCAAAGGGGCCTAGCTTGGTTTTGGCAGGTATCCCTTGCTTTGTGGCAACACCTATAGCTTTGTCTAGGAATTCAACAACTTGCAGGTTGTTGGGTAGGGTAAGGCGTGCCCTGAAATGCATATTTAAAACATAAGCAAAAAAAAAGATGATAAGCATGCTTTGAATTTTGCTGAAGAAGCTGTGCCGAAGAGTTAAAAGAAAATTTAAATAGATATCAAATGATAGAAGTTGAGTTGCAAGGGTAATTGGTAGAGTGCAATAAATAATATTTAATAATCTGCTTTAAGTTGCTTGTGCTATTGCTATGTATCTTTTTTTTTTTAAAAGAAAATGAAATAAAATTATTATGATAGTCATAAGTTAAAAAAAAAAAGATGGTGGGGGTGAAACGTGAAGATACATGAAAAACTAGGCTTCACGACTTTACTATTTCCTGTAAAAATATAATAATAAAGAAACAAAGAGAAAATCAAGGAAAAGAGGGCACAAACCCCTCCCGACACTGCCCATGCTTTATACTCACATAGAGAGGGGGTCCTCCTCTGTTGTTTCCAGTCCAAGCTCTGGGCACTGTTCTGTGTCATGGCTGCCTCCACAAACATCACAACCTAACAGTATGAAATAAAACTCAAATAATACTATATCCATGAAAGACCACATTCAGGCCTGTATAGCCAGCAATATCAAAGGGTGGGTGGGTGCGGGGACTGTATTATTATAACAATTTATTTTTATTTTTATTATGATTTCAAAAATGTGGACCTCTTTAAGCACATTAACATTATCATAACCCCCTTACTAGTAGAAATGGCAAATAAAGAACCTGAATCATATTTTGATAGTTTAAACCCTTAATATTTTCAACCAAGAGGTTGCCACCCGCACGGCTATTCACATACTTTTTAACCAAATAATGCAATTACCTAAAAAAATATGCCATAAATTAATTTTATTCCATCAAATGTTTAACCACCAAATAATGCAGCTGCAGTTATATTTATATATTACACATTACAAATTTTATCTTGCACAAATTTATCAAGAAAAATTATCTATAATTATCTGTTATATATTTATATACTTAACTGGACATTACAACATTATAAATTACACACTCTAAGCTAATACTATATATACCCTGCAGATCCACTTCAACATCCATATTGTTCTTCTTTACTTATGTCTCTTCTGTATTACTGTGGACTAAATTTAAAATCAAAGTATAAATATTACATAGTTTCACATCTTTGGCAATATGTTCAGGAATGATAACATTTTATGAGCCATTTGCTAGATGGTGAATACTACTGCATCTCTCTAAATAAGTGTGTGTGTGTGTGTGTGTGAGAGAGAGAGAGAGAGAGAGAGGGAGGGGGGAGGGGCAACTTACCAAGGATTTGTCTGGCTCTTTATTTCAGTTAAATGTACAAACAAGTTAAATTCCAACAGCCAACACTGCTAAAAACCCTTCCCAAACCACAACCAGTCAATATCGACCCGGGGTTTCTTTTTATCTTCAATAAGATATTTGTTTTATTATTTAACCTCCTTAAGACAAATCCGTCTGCTCATATTTTCGCGGAAACTTTCAGTAAAGTAAAAACACGGATCGAGATACACAAAAATGGCGTGCATGGAAATTGGACGGAGTCCGATGGCAGTCTTTCTTTATAAAAATCACGCAAAATATAATCAACATAGTTTACCTGCAGATAGATATAAAGCATTATTCCGCAACAGAACGGACTTTCACTTGAATGTCTCCTTTAAAAGACCATAAATTAATAAGATTTCCATGTTAAGAACGGTAAAATCAAAATGGTGGAATGCGCCCCAGTAAATGCGCATGCGTACTTTTATTCAAGAGGCGCCAGTCTCGCAGCTTAGCACAGCACATTTTACAGCACACATATAAACGTCTGCACCTCCTTACAATACTTGGCCACGTAGATGGCTTTTACACGACAAAGAATAAAAATTCTTACAAAATATCAGTATCATTTTTTCTACTCATGACCTTTGAAAACGTGTATTGAAAGCGCTACACGTATATATTATAGTAGCCTAATAAGAATATTAAAGGGANAAGTCACGGAAGACCGTCACAGACAAAGAAAGATTGTCAACGAGAGCCGCAATTTTGGTGAATCCCAAGGCAACACACCGAGGCATAACGAAAATTCCTCAACTCCGTTCAACACAACTTTCCTTAACTTCTCCGTCTTTATGCACCATGCAGCTCAGTTGAGTCTCATAGACCTTTATCGTGATTGTCGTCACAGTACCACGTGACCCAGATCTGTTGCTTCATTTTTGCATATTGAGGTGAGGTTTACTAAAACGCTTTTTTTTCTACTAACAGATTGTTTTTATAATTTTTAAAGGGCGGGGATCGATTAAAACATACCTGTAGTGTATAGATTGAGTGCTGTATCTTCAAAATTCGAGAAATGGATTTTTACATGAACATTGTCCTTTAACATTTACACATATGTCATCTTACTGGCGACGTCATAATTTCGATTTGGGGGTAAAAACTAAAAAATTGGTTTCTCAAATTTCTCTTAAATTACCCCAGCACCCACGATCACCGTTTCAACACCGATATAATGATAGGCCTACTATTCATAGTCTATCAGAAATCCTGCCAGCGATTTTTTCTTAAAAGTCTTAAGTAGTTCAGATCTGATTCTAGCGTTGGTTTTAGCAAAATGATAGGCCTATGCCTACTAGCTGGGCCTATGTTTAATGAATATCTTTAATTCGGGGCTCATAACTTCATAATAAAAACATTTAAACCAAAATGACGGCACAGGATAGTAGCCCATACCGGTACACTCCTGGTTAACTCTGCCAATTTTCTCGATAAAATCTTGTTTATGGATGAAAATACTCCCCATACCAATATTGTTATCTCACCTCAACATAGAAAGGTGTTAAATTGATGATTAAATTTTTGGATTGCCTGTGCTCCTATACATTGTAAAGAGAAATATGAATGGCGATATTTTATTTTATTTTATTTTTATTATTATTATTATTATTTTAGTTTTTTTTTTTATTGCTTTAAATCAACACAAAGATAAATGCTAAATACTGAATAATTAGATGCAGGAAAAAAAAACATTTTCGGTAGCAGGATGATACATGTAATAAAGGATGGCAATATCCTTAAATAAAGCTCATCAAGAGGGTCAAAGGACATTAAAGGTTTTCCAGCCTCGCTTACGGGGCAGACAGTTCTGACTGGTATGTCATGCCAAATAATAAGGGAACAACCATGTCGGAATGTGCTGTTAATAAAGGATCCCGGGCCGTATTTATAGAGTACGACATCTTTTCTTCAAGGTAGCACTGAAGAAGAAGAAGTCAATGATTGTGGAAGCGTACTTGTGAGCAACCGGCAGCCAGCTTACTCGCTTACTCCAGCGCAAGAGTAATAAAATTCTGTAACACAAATTGGACAAGAACGGTCCCATTCCAAAGTATTGGTGCCAATATAGCCCTACCCCAGTCCACGGCAACATTACTGCTTTAAATCATAAAATGTTTATTAATCCCAAAATAGATTGATTTTTATTACAAAATGGTTGAATACTTAGAATTATCGCACGTCTACCTAGCGCTGAGTCTCTTGATTATTAGCGCCGATGAAATTAATTTCGAACTGAAACTAAAATTCAAAATTGTGCCTACTAAATTATAATATAATTTATAATAATGCTATCAAATATTTAAATTACCATTGCTTAAATGCACAGATTAGATCTCTAGCACAATCTATTTAGCTTGATTGCTTTCGACGGTTTCTTCTCTATCGCATTTCACAGTAGATCACACCTGCTGTATTCTGGTTAATATGAGATTATTCTGTGTACGTGTGAATAACCTTCCGTTTGATAGGTGCACAATGGTCAGATTTCCAGTTAAGCTGTCCAAAAACACGCTATGTTCAGTCCAAAGACAAAGGTTAACATGCATGTGATACGACTTATAACTACATAGCATAGGGATAGCGAAAGGGGGCTAAACTTACATATTGGTCTTTTAGAGCGCATTCTCAACGAATTAAGCCAGGCTTTACAAAGCCGGTGACCTAAAAATGGCGGACGTACATGAAAGAAAAACCGCCTAATCTTTTAATAGTCTCTCCGCCTCTCACACGCCTCCCCACACGTCGTCCCTGCGGGGTACAGTAATTAAATCTCGGCTCCGAACATTAATATTTCCGTGAATATCTCTGGTGATATTATCTCCTTAGATAGTCGATTCATTGCTGCTCTACGGGCCAAATTATTCCTTTTTCGTCTCTGTTTTCAAAGATAATAGAACAGAAGAGCTTTTTTTTTCGATCGCCTTCAGCCGCTATGCCTTCTTCACCACGAGTTTAACTGATGAGCATGCGCACTTAATATTTCTCAGGTAGCTTCCGCATGGCGAACGGAGCCGAGATTTAATTACTGTACCCCGCAGGGACGACGTGTGGGGAGGCGGAGAGACTATTAAAAGATTAGGCGGTTTTTCTTTCATGTACGTCCGCCATTTTTAGGTCACCGGCTTTGTAAAGCCTGGCTTAATTCGTTGAGAATGCGCTCT